TTTTTGCTGCAAGGTAACTGAAAAAACTTTTTCGGATATTTGATGCTCCGGATAATTAACGCTAGGATAAATGACGTTCTACTGTACTTAAAAATCTGAAGTTAAAAATATTTTTTTTTATTGTTTTTTGGAACATTTGTAGATTTTAAAGAATTAATTAGCTTTCTGATTCCCTCACAGTTGGAATATTTAAATCGGTACAAATTTTTTCATTCTCCAAAACTGAAACTTTATTACGGTTACTATTTGCTTTATACTGAGGTTTATGGGAATAACTTTTACTTTTGTTGCTTATCATAATTATTAAAAAAATAATACGAGCTAATAATTAACTGATATGCTATCAAATAAAGCTGAAAACTTTTGTTTCGCAACTAAACAACACAGAGTTTTTATGAGAAGAATTTGAATGTAAGCAAACAAACAAACAAATATTGCTAGATTTACTTTCAAATACTTTCAAAAAGCGTAACTATTTTTTCTCTTAAATCAAAAGTTTTTTAAAATTATGTTTGAAAAAAATATGGTATTTAAATCCTGTTTGACGAGCTTAAGGGCTTTTAAACACTGACTTCCGGTTACTTAAATATCCACTTCCGGTTTTTTGTGTTTTACTAATTCTTTAAAATCTTGACTCCTAAGCGACCTAGAAACAAAATAAGAACAGTTTTATAAGCTAAATAAATGCTTTATTATATAAAATAAAAGAATTGAAAATGAGATTTTTGGCAAAAGTTGACCATTTTAACTTATTCGTATACCTTAAAGCCATATTTTTAAGAATAAGTGAAAATGATTTGTTTTGAGTTAATTTACAAAAATCACAAATATAATATTTTTTCTTTGCTCCAGTACCTTCAAGGTGAGCTCACAGAAAACAGCTAAGGCTTTTAATCCAAATTTACCCCCTTTGATCCTTACAGGATTTTCCATTATAGGAGATACATTCAGCGTCTTGGTTTTCCGGTTCTTTAATTGATAGCATAAAGTCCATTACACAGATAATCGTTCAGAATGGAAAGATTCATTGCAGCTAATACTAGAGTCATTCCTAAGCCTAGAAGCTCGTTCTGATTTCTTAACAAAGTGCCTTTCAATGCTCTTTTGTCCTGAAGCCTCTGGTTCCTTCTTTTGGTACCTTTTAAATTTTAAATTAGTCTTTTTAGTTTTTCTAACACTTTTTTATATAGGGAATGCAGTATTGTAGAAGAAGATTCAGCTTTCCTGCCTGTTGTCTATGTTTTATTTCCATTGCCATGGATTCAACTTTTAAAATATGTACTTCAGTTTTAAATGAGGATATATTACTATTTATATAATTAATAACTATTGTTAAGCTACCAATATTATATTACCGACTCGTTTTTTAAGTTTATTATTTCTATTCAGTACATTTTGTCGGATTGTTTAGAATACTATAATTTTGCTTCAGGTATTATGGAATACTAGATATTCCACAACACCCGACACACCATCTTGGAAAATGAACTTTAAAACTAAAGGACAAAACATGGTCAGCTAAAAAACGACCACAGTATTACAAACAAGAATTCTTTAAGTGTACATTATGCTTAACTTAAATTTTAAGTCTCATGCATGCTGTTCAAGTAAAAATGTTTGAAAATTTGCATGCAAAAACTTTTGAAAAACGAAAAACACACTTTGTTTTTTGTAGCGAGTGGTTTGGTTACAACAAGTGGTGTACTCTTACTGCAATACATTATGAGAGTCTTTCTTTTCAGCAGTTTAAGGTTTCTCAATGAACACACTTAACGTGCATCAGCTATTTAATGCCACTAATGCTGTGCCTCTCAAACTTTCAATATTTGCGACCCACTATTCAATCGTAATTTTAATCGCCGCCTCCCCCCCTTCTCCAGACCATAACGATGTATTAAATTCAACAATTCTTTAATTGTATTCCAAAACCTTCGGAATCATTTAATGGATAGCAGTGGACAGAGAAGACCATATTTTGGAAAGACGTATATATACGTCCGGTGCAATTAACACTTTGGCTGAGCGAGATATTTATATACGCCGGTGGCACTTGAGAGGTTTAAGTCGTACTGTAGCTTTAGTGTCAAAGTATAGTATTATTGAATTTTAAAAATTGTTATTGTATAGGGGTGATGTGCAAATTATGATTGAATACTGGGTCGCAAATACTGAAAGTTTGAGAAGCACTGCACTATAAGTATTAAAAATATGTTCAAATCAAAGATAGAAAGAAAATATCAGTGCCCGTGAGGGTTGTGGCTAGCTTTCAGTAGCCAGTACGAAGTACGGGCAAACCAGTTAAGGGGTCAAGAATGATTTTATTAAACAATTTTATGTTATACTTGTTTTATTCTTTTTTCTTCCAGTGAGCCCATGTTTATTCCCCGAAGAAATTTCGGCAAATAGATTACGGCAGGCAGTGAATTACATAACCTTATTTTATATTAAAGTAGCTTGTATACCTGTTCTTCGCAAGGGTGAATTGAAAAATTAAGCAATAGAGATTTTGTGACGAATCTGTACGGCACTTTATCACTAATACTCTTGGGCGTCTTTGGGGATTGTAAATTCGCGTATATTTACAACCAGCTCTAAAAGGAGAAACCGGGATATGCAAATGAATCAAAGTATTTAAGGAGAGAGTTGTAAGTTAGCAGGGAGAAGGCTATTGAGCCAAGAGATTCATTGATGGAGTTCTGAGAAGATTCAAGTTGATTGTGTGATTAGTTTTTGGCTGATTATCAGGCAGCGATCTACATTTGGAAAGTTTGAGCCGACTGGAAAGGAGTGCAGTAGTAAAAGTCAAGTGATATTTAAATTTTGATTCTTGGATCATAAGACTAAATATATAATACAGTTATTGGAAAGTTAATGATTGCTAGTAATTTAAATTGCGTATATCTCTCGGTCCTCTTATTCCGGTAAACCCGTTCGATATTGAGTTTAATAGGTGATTAGTATCCTATTTCGTGATTTAATTTAATAGTAAAGTTCAATCCCATTGACGTAGATTTAGATAGTAGTAGATTTTGATGTAGTAGACATTGATTCATCTTTGTATTTAAAAGGTAGATAATTGATTCAAATGAATAAATATAATTTGTTAAAAATGTCGTCTGGTAATTCTTTGGCTGAATTCAATCTTGGTGTCCAGGGGGGAACCCAGGGAGGTTCCCACAATTTAAGGATAAAGAAGTTTTTAATGAGTTAATTTTACGTGAATTGTAAATAAACAGAAAAAAAAGCTTTCTGCATATCTCAGCTGAAAAAAAATCATATTTGTTAAATTTTTACTCTGTAGGACTGTAGGTACCTGATAAAAAGAATTTTTTATTTATAACGTCCCGTAACTCCATTGTGGGTCGATTTTTGAAAACACCTTCTTAAGATTATCCCATCTTAGCAAAAGTAACATGTTGTTACAAATTTTGTGTAATGAATGCTTAAATAATGGTTATATTTGGATGTGTAATAAGTTAATATTACATTCTGTTGTATTTATTTTATGTTAAAATTGAAATATTCGTAAGCAACGCAGTTCCTTGAAATTTAATGGCGATTCAATATAAACATAGCGAAATATTGGCGATAGAGCCAAGTTGACATCATTTTTGGCGACTATAATGGCAGCTCAGGTGTCGTCCTCGTCACTAGACTATGGTTCAAAATTACGAGGTCTATCGCCAATGTAGCTGAACAGTGCGACATTAATATTCACTCACCTGCTTCTCTGGTTATTTCATAATGTTGTGTGAACATATGATGTTCATATACATATACATATATATATATATATATATATATATATATATATATATATATATATATATCTAAATTCTAGCATTTACCGTGTGTTTGATTTTGTATTAAAAACATTATTATAACTCTCACCTATTGATTTTAAAAAATGCACACACAGGAATTCAAATAATAATACCTAAAACAGAAGTAAAATTGTATATATTTTACTTTCCGTAACGCCCTCTTCCCCTCTCCGTCTATTTTCACAAAATCTGTTCTAAGCGGATCTGTACTCAATGAAAGAGACTTGCCTGCCAAATTTCAAGACTGTACGTCTAACAGTTTTAAAATGGAAATAAATACCTAAAACATCCCTTAATAACCCACAAAGCATCTTGAGGGGGCGGTTTCCGCCAAATCCGTTAGCGGATCCCTACTCTATGAAGGGAATATGTCAGCAAAAATAAAGTCTGTAGATTTAATAGTTCCGGAGATATCGTGATTAGTCAGTGAGTGAGTGAATCGCTTTTCTCCTTTATCTATTAAACACTAGATCACATTCTTTTTTAGTCCACAAATCTCATTACTTTTATAAAAAAAAGAGAAAAAGTCATGATTTTATTGAATGTAAAAGACTGATAAAACTTTAAAAATAATAAATAAATGCTTTTTATTTTAATAATAACGAATAAGTAAATATTTTATATATTAACATCGCAGAATGGAAAAAAACGAGGACTATAACAGATGACTAATATTAGCACATAAGACAGATATAAGGGATATCCAAAACTTTTTACCAATGTCCTGAAAACTAACGAGAAAATTAACAATTTTTCTATAAAAATGTATTTCTACACATTTTATTTGGATATATCAATAAAAACTTTAAGATTATTTCGACCTAAATTATAGTTTTAAAGTTAGCATAACCAATCGTAATTTGAAAGGAAGTGCCAAAATTGTTATGGCACTTCCGTCGTCGTTTCCGTAGAAAAGAGCTTATCAGGTTCGCTTCACAAGCGAAAGATAGGCGGTTCTGTCCCGAACGGAACCATGCGACAGAGTAATTTCATTTAATTGCAAGAAATAACACATCAGGTTGAAATTAGGAAGTAATCCTCCTCGCGTGGATATCTCCCATTTTTCTTGTAACCTTTACTTTAATCACGTGCATAATATATGGCAAGGATATCTAATTTAGAAAACAGGCTTTAAGCCAGTCACTTTAGTTCAAACCGTTCCTATCCACTTGAGCAGCTCCGTAGTGTAGTAGTTATCACGTTCGCTTCAAACGCGAAAGGTCTCCGGATCTAGTCCGGACAGAACCACGCGACAAAGTGTCTTCATTTTGTCACATGAAATAACATAGCAGGTTGAAAATGGGTTGGAATTCACGTGCGTCGATATATCTGATTTTTGTTGAACGCATTACTTTTATAACGTGCATAGTACATGCCAATGATATCTAATTTAGAGTATAGGCTTTAAGTCAGTCACTTTAATTCAAAAAGCGTTACTTACCAATTGAGTGGTTCCGTAATGTAGTAGTTATCACGTCCGCTTCACGCGCAAAAGGTGTTCGGTTCGATTCCTGACGGAACCACGGGACGAAACGTTTTCATTTTATCCCAAGATTTAACATTGCAGATTGAAAATGGGAGGAAATTTACGTGCACGGATATCTCCTTTTTTTATTGTACGCTTTACTTGAATCACGTGCATAATATATGAAATATCTAATTTAAGAGTATAGGTTTTAAGTCATTCCCTTTAATTCAAGCTGCTCCCTACCTATTTAGTGGTTCCGTTGTGTAGTGGTTAACACGTTCGCTTTTCACTTGAAAGGCTGAAACGTCCTCCCATTGGTGTGGTGTGGTAGTTGTGTAGCCGAGTGGTTAGGCATCGGATCGTGGCTGGCTTTGTCACGAGTTCGAGCCCAGTACCACTAAAGACCCGCCGTGTAGGGCAGCGATGCACGCTAAATCTGTCGAAAAACGTCCTCCCATTGGTGTGGTGTGGTAGTTAGGAGAGGGGATGCCAGCTCAGTCCACGTCACTTGACCATGGTTCAAAATTACGTCGTCCAACGTCGTTAATCTTCACTCACTCACTCACAGACCATGGCTTGTCGTCCAAATGGTTCAAAATTACGTGGTCCGTCGCCAAAAGCCCTCGTGTAGCTGAACAGTGTGACGTTAATATTCAATCAATCAATCATTTCACTTGAAAGGTCTCCCGTTCTATCCCGGAAGGAACCACGGGACAAAGTGTTTTCATTTTATCCCATGATATAACATAGCAGGTGGAAAATGGGAGGAATTTACGCGCGCGGATATCTCCTATTTTTATTGTACGCTTTATTTTAATCACTTGCATAATATATGGCAATGATTTCTAATTTAGAGTATAGGCTTTAAGTCCGTCACTTTAATTCAAGCCGTTTCCTTTCCCTCGAGCAGTTCCGTTGTGTAGTGGCTATCACGTTCGCTTCACACGCGAAAGGTCTCCTGTTCAATCCCGGGTGGAACCACGCGACCAAGTGTCTTCATTTTGTCCCATGAAATAACATATCAGTTTGAAAATGGGATGAAAACAAGCTTTTATTAAACTTGCAATGTAAAATGTTCGGGTGGAATCTTGCAACTCAATTTTGAAGAGCTGATGCCTTCAACCGACTGAGATGAATTTTGTATACACGTTTAGTTTGGATGACAATGCATGTTTTGGCCATTTATATTCCAATATCGCAATTAGTTAAAAAGTTATTAAGTACAGTAATTTGTTCGGGTTGAATCTTTCGACTCAGTTTTTAAGCTGATGCCTTCTACCGATTGAGCTGAAATTTTGTAAACACGTTTAGTTTGGATGACAATGCATGTTTTCATTATTTATATTACAATATCGCATTTAGTTAAAAAGATATTAATTAACGTAATTTGTTCGGGTGGAATCTTGCAACTCAATTTTGAAGCTGATGTCTTCAACCGAGTGAGTTGAAATTTTGTATTCATGTTTAGTTTGGATGACAATGCATGTCTTGTACATATATATTCCAAAATCGCAATTAGTTAAAAAGATATTAATTAAAAAACTCTTACCCACATGTTAGAAGCTTACTTTACCTATTTACGCTAGCCCTCATGTCCTAGAGAATAGAAAAGCTGACTTCAAAGGATTTACCCAGGGTTCGATTCCCGGGATCTCGCAGTTTTTAAATCACTTTAATTTTCATTCGAAAATTATTTCTCTTGTACAAATTTAAATTTCCGCGTTCTTTCCTATTTGTTTACAAGCTTTTTTTTCACTTTCAATGTAAAATGTTCGGGTGGAATCTTGCTACTCAATTTTGAAGCTGATGTCTACTACCGATTGAGCTGAAATTTTGAATACATGTTTAGTTTGGATGACAATGCATGTTTTGACCATTTATATTCCAATATCGACCTAGTTACTGTAACGATCTTGTTTAGTAGTTAAGGCGAGCATGTTTACAATAACACAGGTGTCGACCAAAATCGTAGCTCAGATGGTAGATCACTTGCTTAGCATGCGAGAGGTTCGGGGCGCGATACCCCGCGCCTCCAGTTGTTACTTTTTCGTATAAAATATTTTTGAAATTTGTTTAATTTGATACAACGAGATATATTTTACAATACTTCCACTCTGTATACGTACAAAGAATGTTATATTTTTACTGTTCTACAGGGAACACTACGAGAAAGACAGATCTCTAAAACTATTTACTTTGAAACATTCTAACAGATATCTATTTACTCGATTCTAGTTTCTCCCTTAACACTTATAATTGACCTAGTTACTGTAACGATCTTGTTCAGGTGTTAAGGTGAGCATGTTTACAATATAACACAGGTGTCGACCAGGAGCGTAGCTCAGATGGTAGAGCGCTCGCTTAGCTGGGAGAGATACCTTGCGCCTCCAATTATAATTTTTTCGTTTCGTGTAAAATATTTGATTTGTATTACGAGATATTTTATAATACTTCTACTCTGTACACGTACAAAGCATGTTATATTTTACAAGCTTTTATTTAACTTGCAATGTAAATTCGATATCTTCAACCGATTGAGCTGAAATTTTATATACACGTTTAGTTTGGTTGACAATGCATGTTTTGACCATTTATAATCTGATATCGCATTTAGTAAAAAAGGCTAGCTGCATGGCCCGGAATTGCTCGGGCTTTCTCTACTTTTATAAATTTTCCCTTTTCTTCACAAAATCAGCACTTCTCTCTCTAATAATCTTTTTCAAAATGAATTCCACCTTTCCCCCTCCTCCGATTCGGCTGATATTGCTCGGGTTAATACCTAGTGTATAACTTAAAATTTCCCGATTCGAAATTTTTCCTCATCTTTTCTTCGTCAGACTGGTTTACTGCCCCCGGCGTTGTACGAACATTTTTAAATGCATAACATATTGTCATGGAAATTCCCTTCCCCTGTCGCTATCAGAGCTCTCAAGAAAGTGAACACTCAAAGATTCTTAAACAACTTGACAGGTGCAGCACTCTAGTGGCACAATGAATTATTGCACAAAAAAAATTCGTAAAAAAAGTTTTCGACATTTTATTTTTTAAATCACTAACTGTTAAAAGCAAAGTGTGAGTTTTTTAAGAAATCAATTTCATATAAACGCCTCGATAGTGATTCATTTTAGAAAAAGTCATATGGAAAGTATCGTTGTTTTGAAAAAAAAGAAAAGAAAAACGTACTATATCGTGACGAAATAAATCTTCTTTCAAATTATAAAATTGCTGGGGAAGTTATTAAATGCACGAATAAAATTTTGAGTATTTTTTAAAACAATCATAAAAACTAAGCGATGGTGTTGTTTATAACCAGGGGAGCAAAAGTTAATGATTCAGCGTTCTAAGCGTTCATTCCACGAAATCTTCGGGAAAAAAAATAAAAGGAAGATATATTCAATTTCGCATAGCGTTATTTGTTAAAATTTAAATTTTGGGGGGCTTCATTTTTAATTTAATGCCTTCGAACTTCATATATCGATTGCAAACAACGGTAATTTTTAAATAAAAAATGTAACAAAAATAATGCTTTAATATTTCTCGCAAAAAGGGGATAAAAACGAAAAACACAATTTTTTTCAACTGTAATTTTTAAGCAATATTTTCGAACTTTGTGCATATTACGGATGATATCGTTCTACACACGAGAAAAAAATGTCATGAAATTATTTTTATAAATAAAGAAATTATTAAGTATTTAAATAAAATTTTGAGTATTTTTTAAAAATCGTAAAAAAAAAAAATTCTCATTTTATTTTTTAAATGACTGATTCTGAACGAGAAAAGCATGAATTTTCTTAGCGTAGAATATCATTTCATTAAACTGAAAGAAAATTCAATCGGAGTGATTTAGAAATCATTTTCATAAAAACATATCGATTTTGACTAATTGTAGAAAGTATCGTAAAAAAAAGAAAATTTCATTTTATTTTAAAGTAATTTATAACGTATCGTGGCGAAGTAAATGATCTTTCCGATTCTGTAATTTTTTTTTGAGCCTCATAAAAAATTAGATCGTATCTTAAAAACGTCTGGGATAAAAAAAAAAAGTTCGGGAAATTGAAATTTCGGCACCTGGCGGGAAAAAATGGCAATAATTATGCGCGTTTTAAGGTTTTTAATTAATATCTTTTTAACTAATTGCACTATTGAAATATAAGTGTTCAAAACGGATTCCTCGGATCAGTTCCGATCTCTTGGTACCTTTGGCGAGTGTCTGCATCATGCGGTTCGTGAGAAGATACACCCAGTCGTATAGTTGCATACGTTTGTTTACCTTCGAGTTTTGATAGTGCAGATATTAATTAAAATAATTTTTTCGGGCTGAATCTTGCAACTCAATTTTGAAGCTGTTGTCTTCAACCGATTGAGCTGAAATTTTGTATACATGTTTAGTTTAGATGACAATGCATGTTTTGATGATTTATATTCTGATATCGCAATTAGTTAAAGATATATTAATCAGAAACCTTTTACTCCTGTGTTTGCTTTTTATTCTGCCTGGCAGTTTATCGGATAGAGCTTAAAGAAGTTCCGATTCTCTCTCTCTCTTCGGCCTTTCTTAAAAAACCATTTTATTCTTTCTCTGAAACTGAGACGAAAAATAATAGATTAATGGGAAAGATAATTTATTTCGCTACGATACTGTATAATTTGTTAAAAAAATAATGATATTTCTATTTTTTACAATTTTTTCTAAAATGAGTCAAAATCGATGCGTTTTCATGAAAATGATTTCTAGATCGTTCTGTATGATTTTTTGCGTGTTAATGAATCGATATTC